ATCTTGGAGGGCGACATTAGCAAGGGCGTACAGCGTTACCAACTAGCTATACAAAATTCTAAGGCAAGGTTGAACTATGCAGTAGCCCCGGGTTGTTGGCTAATGCCAAGTAATTTGGTCATCAACGCCAATTCCGTTGTGGGTTATAACAACAAGCTGCAGCGAGCAACCAAAGACATGAAGTTTGGGGCAAATGACGTGAACTCTGACATGACCAAGGGCATTCCTCACTTCGTCGAGAAGCCAAAAAAGGAACACGAAACGAAGCTACCCGTAGTTAAGAAACTATCAAAGCACATTCCCGCGTTACCAACCATACCTGAGGAATATGACCATAACTTACTAAAGGCCGGCTTAGCCACCGCAGGCGTTGGTCTGAGTTATTATATATGGCGATGAACAACCCCTACGTAGCTGGAGTAGATTGTGTCTATACGACTTACACAGGTGAGAAAAAATACACCCAGGCGGCTTGGGTCGATGTCACGGGCATGTCCGTGAATTTGAACTACTCAGGAAAGAAGTTAATCCTTTGTAGTATTTGCATTGGCACGAGCAGCCATGCCAACGTGGGCTTTAGGTTTTGCGACGACAACGGCATGTTGCAGCCTATGCGTGTGAAGACGAATCTAAGGGAGCCTACGCATTTTTCCGTAGAGCCACCAACGAATAGCTCTGAAAATCATTCCGTTTGGACTTTTCACTTAGTTGCCGACTGTCATGGGAAGGTAAAGTTACAAATGCGTGTAGATGACACTGGAAGCGTTTGCGTAAATAGCGTAGAGGATCAGAGAGATCAACCTTATAACCATTTAACCATTAGCACTCTTACGGTGCTTAGCCTTTAGAAGGGGAATTTATTTTCTGAAATATATGAATCCACACGTAAGAGAAGATTGGTTTTTTCATTACCTGGAGGAAGATTGGCATCAGGATGATGAATGGCGCGATGTTTGCACGTGGGTTAAAGTTGGAGGGTTGGGGTTAATTATGTGTGCCATTAACATTAGCGCGGTTAATAGCGCTAATGTTAGGTTTAGGATCATTGATGAGAATAACCAGCCGTTACTACCTTACAGGAAAAAGGTTAATCGTAGGCATCCGGCTCATTTTACGTACGAAGGCTCCACGTTAAGTGTAGAAAACATGGCGTCAGTAGCGTTTCACATGATAGTTAATTGTCAATACGCAAAGCTTCAATTTTGCCCAGACGACGAGTTGAGTTCGGGGGGGTACCCTGGTATTGCTATGGTTAATCGAACTAATAACACAAATGCTACTTGGAGTCATAAGCCTATTAGCACCATGAGCGTGCTGCCGCTAGTTCCGAATTACCAAGGCGGTGCGAATACTATCTTTACTTATCCCCGGTCGAGGATGCCTCGGGCGCCCGACGACGATAAGCCACCAGTAATACACAAGGATAAGATTAACCCCGCATCTTCTTCAGGAGTACCACTCCAATAGCGACGACCAAGATCCCAATGTTGTTGCCCACGAACTTTAACAGTTCGCCGCCGGCCCTAAGTGCCAAGGAAACAACCGAACCCAGCAGCCCAGGCAAGCCGGCTGCCATCTTTTTTCCCAAGTTTGTTAAGCCCTTACCCAAACCCTTAACGCCTGCGCCTGTTGCCTTAAGCGCATTCATGATAGCCGCGACTGCGCCTGCAATACCAACCGCGAATGCCAGTGGCACCCCATACTTCACCAGAGCTCTTTTTACCTTTTCCTTGGTGGTAAGCCCCCGCTCCCTTTCCGCGGTAGCGAGCTTCGTCTTTGCCTCTTCGAGTCTTTCTAGGGTGGTTTCCAATTCCCTTTCTGCAGCTGCCCGCTCTTCTTCGGGGCGCGTTTGGTCAGCTATTATTTCCCGCTGCACGTTGGCGTGATGTTCTAAGTCTTCGACAGCGCCACTCAATTGCCGAATTTGCTCGTCTTTGCGAGCAATTTCGTTTGACAACTGCATTCTGCGTCGTTCGACTTCCATTAGGGCGTTAGCGGAATTCATGAGTTCCTCGTCCTTTTCGTCTAAGCCCGCTATGGCGTCCTGAAGAGCCTGAAACGTTCCACTTCGGTCTGCTTTAGCCTCGCCGAGTTCTTTCATGGCGCCCTCGTATCTTTTTTCTAATGCAGCCTTTTCCTCCTTTGCAACTTGCAATTCCTCCTTTACGGCTTGTAGTTCCTCGGCTTCCTCGCGACCAGACGTAATGTTTTTGATTTTATCTACGAGCCTTTTTATTTCCGCGTCCTTTTCCCTCTTAAGGGAGGCTATGGACGCGATCTTTTCTTGTTCCAGGTTTTCAATTTCCCAGTTTTGCTTTTCTACTTCCGCAGATAGGCTTTCGATTTCTTCCTTTGCGGCCTGAAGTTGCATGACCTTTTGGTCTTCTGTCTTTCCACCTGCTTCAGGCGGCAGCTTTGAAAGGGCGGCGAAGAATCTTTGTTTGCGGGCGCTTACTTGGTCTTCGGTCATTTGCTCTTGTACTGCTAAATTTGGCTTTCCGATGGCTCGATCCAACGTCTTGGGAATATCGGGGTAAGCAGAGAATCTCCCCCTTTCATCCCTAATCACGTAAATCTTAGAGCCGCTCCTTGGAAGTCTACCCAGGATTACTTCTTTACCCCATTCGTTGCTACCGTCGAATACCATTATCGCATTGCTAGGCTCCCAATCGGGAAATAAGTCCATCAGCCTATCAAAGTCGTCCGGTTGTTCCTTTTCCATGGATTCATCCATTTGCTCCTGGATTTTGCTAAGCCATTGGGCGCCGGGGGCTTCAGGAACCGGTTCTAAGTCCTTCATTTGCATGTAAGACGGAAGTGATTTGCCTGGGTTCTTACGCTTGAACATGTCAGCAAGGGAGTTTAAAGCGCCGCGAGCCCTACTTTCACCAAATTTACGCTTTAATTTATCAAAAAAGCCCGGTTTATCCGCTTCAGGAAGCAAAGACTCATATTCGTCGTCGTTAATGTCAACTCGACCTTCTTCGGTGAGGGGATCCAATTCGGGATCTATTCCTTCTACTTCCATTATATATGATAAGCTCGAAGTTAAATCCCAACGTATTAACTAAGCAGGTTGGCGGACTGAAAGCAGAACGCACCTTTCACCGGGTCACCTTTACTCCCAGCAGCGCAAAGCCAGGAGAAACCTTGTACGTAGGCGTGCCCCGCCTAACGGATAACCTAGTCCTAGTTCCTGGCACCTTGGCGTTAAGGTTTGACCTAGCAATACAGCCAGATACCGCAGACGCGCGTTATGTGGTCAATAACGTGGGCAGGAACCTCGTCTCTAAGATGAGAATCAAGTTCGCCGGGGAATCCCTCTTGGACTTAAATAGGTACGATTTATACACCACATACGAGGACTTATGGTTGACGGCCTTCGACCGCGCGCAAAGGATAGAACAAGGAATAGCAAGCGCAGCCATACGCAAGGTAAGGAGCGCAGCCTCTGGCGCCTCAGGAGAAGACGAAATAAAGGCAGCCTACGGTACTAAATATGTTATCCCGTTGGACTTCGAAGTTATCACGAACCACGGCGCGTATTACCCAAGGCAGCTAAGTGAACTGCAGTTCGAAGTAACCCTAGCAGATACTACGAACATCCTGCAAGGAAAAGATGTAAGTTCAGCAGCCGTGGACCCTTATTTCATCAAGAACTTGGAGTTGCAGTACGAGACGGTATATAGCGAAGAGCTGGCCCTTAGCGCCGGTATGGAATATAGCGCCGGAAAGGCATTCCTTTACGACCACGTAGTGATGTACAAGACGTTCAGCTTCGCAAACAACGTCGAAGAGGTTATTAACCAAAGCATTAACCTTCCTAGGCGCAGCCTTACAGGGTTAATGTTGCTGTTTGCAAAGACATACACCGCAGGATTACGTGACTCTGAGGCATTCTTTAATCCTAACATTACCAACGTAGGTGTTAGTATTAACGGAGTGCCTAACAAGGTTTACTCACAAGGGATAAAGCCAGCGGATATGTACCGGGAAGTCGCACGCAGGTTTGGCGACCAAATTGCCCCAAAGGAGTTCTTCACGGACAAATACGCGTTATGGATTGACATGCGCACTAACAACGATGAATCTATGAACGGCCAGGGTTTACGTCTAGTGAATACGCAGGATGGGATAACATTGGAAATTAAACGCACCAAACATGCCAGCGATTCGACTAAGATAAACTGCTACGTCTTTGTGGTGTCCGACGCGCAGCTAAGCGTAGAAATGAATCAGCTAAAGAGCGTTGCTTATTAAGATATTTGACTGATATACCATGTTACGCGTCTTCGAAAACGACAACACCAAACTGCAATGCATAGTGCAAGGCGACAAACCATATTTCAAAGCGAAGGAGGTGGCGTCTGCGTTAGGATACGAAAACACCAAAAAAGCTATTAGCGACCACGTCTCTGAAAAACATAAGAAAAGGCTGAGCGAGTTAAGGGTAACGAATCGCATCCCTTCTACTATTCACCCACATTCCGTGTTCATATCCGAACCTGGGTTYTATCAATTAATATGTAGTTCAAAGATGCCAAAGGCAGAGGCATTTCAGGATTGGGTATTCGAAGAGGTCCTCCCCGCATTACGTAAGGACGGTCGATACGCAATAGAAAAGCGGTTTGACGGTCCAAACAAGTTGGTCTTCAAGATAGAAAACGAATTCGACCTGCATAAAAAAGTGGTGGACTACATCCGCAAGTTTTACCCCCAAATGCTCGTGGCCCCCGGTTTGGGCGAGCTGCAGGACTCGGATGGTAAGCGCATAAAGTGCTGGCAGAAGGGCTACCAACGCGGTCAGCCCGACCTTCTTATTTTGAATGTGCACGTGCAATACCGTGGTTTCTGCGTAGAGCTGAAGACCCCAAAGGCGACGGCAGGTTGTCGCCGGATCAGCGACTGCTCTTACAGCAGTACGAAGATAACGGTTATAAAGTGTTGATCAGTAACGACTACGATGTCATCTGCAGAGCCATCACGGAGTATGCACGAGGAATGCGTCTACCATGTAGGTGGTGCTGCAAGCGCTTTAAGAACGCGCAGACTCTGGGAACGCATTTAAAGATATTCCATAGGTATAGTGGTGAGGCAAATACATTGGCGAGATCTAATAGAAGGTATTGCGTATGAAATAAAAAATTACGTCGTCTTCGAGGATATCAACCGCTTGCGGCTGGTCCTCAAGCACGACGACGTGGAGTATTCCCTGTGGGCGCCTGATCGCGTCAGGTACGTCATACAGGGCGAGGAATTCACCCATCTGCGCTCGCATGGTAAGCAGAACGGGCGGTGGGAGTTTGACATTGAAAGGAGGGTTGCCCCGTCTCCACTGTGTGGTTAGACGTGTCTAAAGTAGGTGTAGTCATGCCTTCGCTCTTTGGCGGCGAGGATGACTCCCTTTTTTTAACGATGCAGTCGTTGGGTATCTCGCACGTGATACAGTCCATATATTGAAAGGGTGATTAGGAATCCTCCAAAGCGGCTAGCATATATCTTGGATCCCCGGAACCGTTTTAAAGGGGCCTTTATTCTTCTTTATTATTATTCTGCAAACCTCCTTTAAAAGGGGTCATTATTCTTATTTATTATTATTTAACCTTAATAATAATAAATAAAAATAAGATCAGGATTTGAAACTCTTTGCGCAAACCCTGATCTGACTTCCTTACTAGCCCTTACGGGCGATCTTATCTTTTAAGTTATTACCGCTCCAATCTTGGAACGTTTTTACGTGCTCCTTAAAACTGCGGGGATCAAACCGTGGATACAGGCACTGCCAAATATGATCGTTACCTTTCCTTGGACAACCGCAATACTTGCAGTCCGCCTCCCAATATTCCCTGTCTTCCCAGCGCACGCCTTCAACGCAGTCAAACATTGCAAAGCGCTGATCGATCTCCTTTTTACGTTGAGTTAACCGCCGCTTAGTCTCGCGCGGACAACACCTAGCTGCGACGTCGCCATGTTTTAAACAAGCTACGCCTTCTAAGTCGTAATTACCGCGGCAACGGAAACGATGCCACTCTTCATCTTTGTCCTCCTCGTAACGCTCGCATGCATTCTTTAGACAGACACGGTTATCAACGTGATACTTCAACATCTGCGCGCTGCTAAACAGATGATTACACTCCTTGCAACGCCTTTCGCGCACCTTTTGACACACCTTCTTTTCGACGTGGTATCTTAACATTTGCTTTGAGCTGAACTCCTTGTTGCACCGCATGCACTCCATATATAATAAGGATTTAATAAGCCTTATAAGGGATACCGAATGAAGTCCTTAACGGACTCCTTAGCCCAGCCCGCCATCGTTATCAGCGCACCAAACCGTTCTGCGCGCTTCAAACCGCACATTTCATCGTACAATTCCTGCACGCGTTCATTCAGCCGGTCTATCTCCTCCCTTTGCATTTCGACCGTCCTCTCCAGGTCTGACTTTTCTTTGACGACGTTAACCATTGCTTTGACAGCTTCCACGGGCTCCATATATACCAGCAAATAAATTTGCTTCTAGTTCATGCCTCCACAATACTTTTTGAAATGCTCCGTCGTCGTGCGGTAATGCACTTCCTTTATCAGTTCCCGCAGCTCAGATACCCCCTCCTCCATCTCACGAAGTAAGGAATCAGCGCGGTTGGCTAACATGTACACGCTGCTGTTCATTTGACCCCTGTAATTTTGTAGTGCTATCAGATCTGCTTCCATATACATAATGCGATATACCAACAGCCTGTCCAGTTCCCTTCTTTTGAAGGGATATAATGGATCCGAACCATATTCCTTGTAACGCTCTGATAGTAGGACCCACCGGCTGCGGAAAGACCCAGTTTGTGGTAGAGCAGGTATTAGGACCCTTTAGATACCGATTTGACTATATCGTGTTGCTTTGCCCCACCTACGTGAACAACCGCACCTGGACGGGTGTAGGAGTGAAAGATGATGACTTCTTTGTGGATATCTTAGACCCTAATGAGTTATCCAGCCACCTTAAGGTTTGGCATAAGCAATTCCCTAAGGATACTCAGACTTTACTTATACTGGATGACATTGCCTGCGGGGACGACGTAAAAAGACGCACCTCCGAATTAGTGAAGCTCGCCTTTAGCGGCAGGCATGACAATATTAGCGTTTGGTTGCTCTCGCAGCAGCTTACCAGTGTCTCTAAGCCCTTCAGGGAAAACATAGGATCGCTTGTCGTCTTCTACACGCCCAGTAAGTCAGACCTGGAAACCATCTTAAGCGACTACGGCGGTGAGATATCCAAGGAACAGTTACACGAATACATGCGGCACCTAAAAACGCACCAACATTCCAAGATGATCTTCTCTTTGAGGTTTCCCTACACTGTTGGAATCTATGATTCCTAATGTATATGGATATTGAGCAGCTCTTAGATGAAGTCCCCAC